CACATATCTTAAAATCGCCGAGTCTGAAAAACACTGTTTTATATGATGTAAACATTGAGCCAAGCTCAATTCATGCAAGCTGGAGGCTGTGCAAAAATGGCTCAGAGAAAATCAGTGTGTTTTGCTAAGTTGTCATTTCTAGGGGAAAGTGTGATCCCTATGACTTCTATCAATGGAGCTGGCGGCTCCAAGCCTAGAATAAAAGAAAGAGCAGCCAGTGTGTGGGTCTGTGCCGTGCGAAAGAGATTTGATAAACAGGCAACTGAAGAATCCCTACAGAAAACTTGCTTTTAGCCTTTGTAAGAAATATATACTTAGCCTTGTTTTCCTTCCGACGAGCAGCTGTTCTACATAGACCGGGAATTGCATTGAATAGGAATGGATGATTCAATAATGCAACCTGGGAAAGATCCCTGCACACAACTTTTTCCCAATTGTAAGAAACTCAGCTCTGAAGAAAACTCTGAGTGTATTTAGTACTACCATCCACAGTGAGCCTTATAATCACAGTGCTTTTAAGTGAATTATATTTTCTAAGTGTTCTTTTACTCCCTAGGGCAGTGTCTCTCAACCTTGGCAACTTTAAGATGCGTGGACTTCAACTCCCAGAATTCCCCAACCAGCAGGGCTGGCTGAGGAATTCTGGGAGTTGAAGTTCACGCATCTTAAAGTTGCTGAGGTTGAGAAACACTGCTCAAGTGTCATTGGGCTCAAGCTAAGACCTGCTGATGAGCAAGGGAGCACTGTTGACTGCTTGCTGCTCCTCATCTGATTTAGCAAAGTGAATGATAAGAACAAAAGAAAATGTCTTGTTTCTTGCCAGCTTTTGGGCAGGTGGACAATCCTGGGTGCCAGATCCCAAACAGGGACAGTGGAAAAGGTTAGATACAGGTAGTCCTTGCTTAGGGACCACAGTTGGGAACAGCAATTCTGTTTCTAAGAACTGTAGTCGTTAAGTGGAAAATCACATGACCACGAAGGGCTTACCAGCTCACTTCCTATTTGGTCATTAAGCAAATCATCATAGTCATTAAGCAAAACATCATGTGACTGCGACTTACAATTTTACTTCCATGTTCTCCATTAACTCTGGTTGCTGCAAGCCGGTTGTGAAGCATGCGAATGGTGATCCCATGACTGCGGGACACTCTGATGGTCATAAATGTGAGGATTGGTAGCAAAGCTGGTTTTTTTTATACCAACATAACTTTGAACAGTTGCTAAACAAAGCAGTCGGTAAGCAAGGACTACCTGTAGGTGCGGGAATCCGCTAGGCTCACTGTACTTGAGAACTTCCCAAAATTTCATAATAACAAAGGCTAACAAGATACCCTTAAATTAAAGAATGAAAACACCCAGCTGCTGGGACTGGTGGTTGTCTGGGTACAACCATGGCAGCTTTCATATTTTCTGGAAGTATGGCCATTTGCTGTATAGTCACTCTTTCAGAATGGAACAGAAGACACTCAACTTTCCTTGCATCCTGAAGCCTTCTGACTAAGGTTCTGTGATGCTTCTGTCCCCACTGAAGTGTCATCCTCTTCAGTGAGGGCCTTGCGAAAAAATCCCAAGAAGGAGGCTTGGCGGTGGAGGCCTTTGCTCCGGATATACCCCACAAAGCCATAGAGCACTGGGTTGATGCAGCCGTGGAGGTATGCCAAAGCATTGGAGAGCTTGAGTGCAATTCCCCAAAACTCATTTTTGCTCCAAACGGTGCTCAGCAGCACAAAGATGTGGTGAGGCAGCCAACAGATGAAGAAAAGAGCCACAATGGTGGCCACCAGACTGATGGTGCGGTGGCCGCTTGTCCAACGACGCCGACGAAGCTTGCAAAGTAGAACTGAGTAAGCTGTGGAGATGATGACAAAAGGCAGGAGGAATCCCCCCAAGAACCTGCTCAGTCTCAGGGGCAATTCTGTAGAGATTCTGAGATCCTTCTGATAGACACAACAGGAGGCCCCATTTCTGACTTCAACAGTGCGGACCACCAGGTAAGGGATGCTGAAGAACAAAGCCAGGATCCACGCTCCAATGCACATCAGGGCTTGAAAACGAGGACTTTGGTGGTTTCGGGCCCAGACCGGCCTTACTACCATCAGACAGCGATAAAGACTGATAACAGTGAGGATGAAGATGCTCGTAAAGGTAGTGAGGTAGCGAGCAAAGCTATGGAGCTTGCAAAGGATGAGGCCAAAGGGCCAACGGCTGTACATGATCTCTTGCACAAGGGCAGGGATTCGACCTGCAGAGAAGAGGAAGTCGGCCACAGCCAGGTTGAAGTAGCAGATGGAGGTGAAGGTATTATGCTTCTTTCTCTTAGCTATGATCCACATGACCAACCCATTGCCAGAAACACCCAGTACCAAGATAATCACATTGGTGACGATAGCAATGTGGCGCATGACTTCTTCCACAGTGGTTATATTATGGAGGCAATGAGAGACATTCATGGTTGCCTAAAAAGAACAACACAGTAAGACTTAGTACGGGTTCCTACGTTTTTCAATCTCATATCCCCTTGATGGAAAACAGGGTGGGCAACTGACAGCCCTCCTGTCACAAAGAACCCTCGAAGTCTTTCTCTGCAGCCCCCTTCCAACTCTGCTGCTGAATCTTGGCTTGCTCAACCAGGTCTTTCATGGACTCCCATTCAGATCATAATCTCATGTGTTTGCAAAAAACAGAGAAACTGCCCTCAGGACAGGAGCTGTGGTTTCTTCTATGTCACAGTTACTGTGGTTTGGCAACCACTCTTCCAGGGTGCAGATAGGTTAATGAATTCACAGAGAAGTATAAACAAGCAAGGGGTAATCTGAAGAGAAATCTCAGTAAGAGTTAAAAAGAACCCAGCTGAATTCTTGGGGTATCATGTTCATGCCTGAGAAGAGACACATACAGGATCAAGTCCTTGCCAATCTCCTCTCTAGGGAATAAATCAGGATGTGTGGAATGCTTCTTTATAATTCAAGTGTTCTAAGAGTACTATAGTGGTCTGCTATCTACTGATATGGTGTCAGCCCTTTGAGGTAGTCCAGACAAGAAGCACACCCAGAGGTACTAGCTCTTGTAAGGTTACATTAACAGAATCCTACAAGTCTGAAAGGACATCTCTCCCCCTCACCTTTACAGTCCAAGAAGCTAGGGAGGGTTCCTTCTGAGATGTTTGTCACACTCCCTTTCCTTCTGTGGGCTCAGCTGGCATTTGTCTGACCGTTGTCTAGTCTGTGGCTCTTCTATCTGTCTCCCAAGGTCATTCCTACATACCATTACAGTAGGGCAGTGTTTCTCAACGCATGCTGGCTGGGAAATTCTGGGAGTTGAAGTCCACATTTCTTGAAGTTACTGAGATTGAGAAACCCTGTAGTAGGGATAGAGGGTCTTTTTGGTTGCTGGGCATGCTGGGAATTTTGAAAGCCTCTTGAGAGCATTCTTACAATGTGATTGCCAAGGTGGGCTGTCCTGGTCAACAAAATGGCCGCAAAGGTGCATCAAAACTTTCTATTGGCACCTCACCCTATGGAGGCATGGAGCTTGGCCCAGTCTCGAAACAGTCAGTAGTCAGAAGGGGCTTCCTGTACATGTGCATGGCGCATGTGGCAAAGCCTCTTCCAGGTTCTGGAACAGCTAAAGGGGCCTCAGAAGTGAAGTGAAGCAACACAGCCACTTGGCTTGTAGAACCAAAAGGTCATGTTGCTTCACCACAGAGCTGTGTTGGGAAATTTTTGCAGGAATCTTCCAAGCTTGACACCTCGGTGCAACATACCAGACCCAAGTTATCCAAATTCAGGTGCTGCTTTCACATAATGGAAAAATGTGAAATGTGTTTTACATATGTCTTAAAGCAATGTTTCTCTAATCCCACAGAGTGGAAGAGGCCAAAAAATGTTAGTTCCACTTCCCTTTTTTTAATACCTTCATCTATGGGGTGATAGGTGATGAAGGGGTTTAAGGCACCCATTTAATAGAAGAGCAACTGGTGAAGTTGCCTCTGTCATCCTCAGCTTACCATTTTTTTGAGGGCAGGGATCCCAGAAAGTGCAACTGAAGAGCTGCAAACTTTCAACACTCCTATTGCATCAGAATGGGTAGTTTGAAAAAGTTTTAAGATTAAGATTTTGCCTTCTGTGGGCTTTGAGAGACGTTTTAAGGGGCAAAAGTGGATGCTTTAAGCCTTAAGGATATTTAAGGCATCCATGTGAGCCTTAAAAAACCCTAAATCTCCCCTCCCTATGGGGTTTTGTTGGCCCTCATCTGGCTGCAGCCAAAAGCAATTGTGTGCTCCTGCTTTGGAATTGAATCTGATTCCTTCGCCAACTTATGGGAAAACCTAGCACCTTCTGCATGTCATTTCATGGCAAAAAAGAGGAGAGGAGAGGAGAGGAGAGGAGGGAAGGGAAGGGAAGGGAAGGGAAGGGAAGGGAGGAGAAGAGAGGAGAAGAGAGGAGAAGAGAAGAGAAGAGAGGAGAAGAGAAGAGAAGGGAAGGGAAGGGAGGAGAAGAGAGGAGAAGAGAGGAGAAGAGAAGAGAAGAGAGGAGAAGAGAAGAGAAGGGAAGGGAAGAGAAGAGAAGAGTCCTCTTCCAAAAAGATTAATCAGGGCACACCATGATTCTAACTTTTTCACATCCTGAAAAAGCTGATCTCGTTCCAGGGAAAGAGGAAAAGGAAACAGGATCTCCATTCTTGAATTCTCGGAAATGGGGTTCTTTGGCTTCAGGGAGAAACAACAGTCCCTGAAGAAATGGAACACTCAGGGGAATAATCCTCTGGGGAAGAGAGAGGAAAGGAGGATAACTTTTCAGGAGAAGTACGCATGGGTATGCCAATCCTTGCATGACGACGCACAGGTTCTGCAGGTTTCGGAGCATGCCAAAGCCCTACAAAATCTGTTTGATCAGAGGGGAACAGACACGAACAGGAATCTATCTGCAGCATTAGCAACAATACCAGTTTCAGCGCACCCTCACGTTATTTTAAAAAGGCTGCGAGGAACCCATCTTACTCTCTGTATTCAGTCTAGCCCAGTGTTTCTCAAGCTTGGGAACTTTAAGAGGTGTGGACTTCAACTCCCAGAATTCCCCAGCCAGCATAGGGGCGGGGGGGGGATCGGGGGGGGTGGTTCGCAACCCCCTAAATATCCACCAACTTGGAAAAACAAGA